GCACGGCCGAGTGTGCCTTTATCCAACCAGCGAGCTCTTACCTGCTCACGAATAAAGGTCATCTGTCCATCAGAGCGCGGAGACACTGAGAGCATTGATTTTGAGCGCCGAGACAAAGAACCTTTTTTATGCGGTGCGAGCGTCCGTTTGCGGCGGGTATGGGCGGCGGGGGAGGGCGGCGTGTGTGGGGTACGCCGTGATTGCGGTGCCAACTCGCATCACGAACGGTGGCCTGGTGCACGCCCGGAGAAAGGTGGCATGATGTGGGGACGGGGGGGGGGTGGGGGTTTATTGCTTTGCTTTTGTTTTAGCCGGCGGAATTTTACCGCAGCCGACTTGAAGATGCGGCTTTTGGCGGAGAAGAGCCGGCGCGCCAGCCAGCACCGTGGCTTCGCGTGCCGAAGAACCTCCACGGCGGGGAGGGGTTCACATCATCGTCGTCACTATCGACATCATCGTCATCATCATAGTCATCGTTAGCCCCCCTCTATTTAAGACCGAGGATTTCTCCACAACTCTGGCTGTCGCCTGATGAGGCTGGTTGCAATTACTGGCAAAACGTCGTGCTCGAATCGTAAATGTTGTGGGTTTACTCTCAAATACACCGGGTGTGCTGAACAAGTAACGAATCGGCATGTTTGTTTACAAACCTTACAAATTGGCTGTGTCGGGTGGTGGCGGGTTTACCAACACATTTATATTTACGCTATCTAACCCAAAGAAATAAATACCTCTATGACGGGTCATCATCAGCCGTGGTCCATCCGCTGCTGGACAAAGGGCCTCCCCCTAAGCCGCCGTCACCGTCTCTCATGGTCATGCGGCGCGGCACGGCGATCCGTCTGGCTCCTAGGCTCGAGCCGCGTTGAGTTGCACCCAACGGAATGACGCCAAAGGAGGGGGTCGCCACCCCCCTCCTTTGGTTGCCGCTCCACCGTCGGTCTGCCCAATCCCACTTCACTTTTCTGAAACGGTGGCGTGCAACGTTTAACGAGGAAACGATCCTCGGTTTAACAACATCGGCTATCTGGGTGAAAGTGGTGTCGGGGAGCGACCATTAAGGCAGGCACGGGGCACACCGGGGGTGCTGCTGCTGCTGCCAGGTCATCATTGTTGTTGTTCGCATGACGCAGCAGGTACTCAGTTAAGGCTGAGTCGACCTAGGGGGAGGCGACGTCCAGGTCTGGTGGCAATACTTGGCCAGGAATTGCAAGCGGGTCGCTAGGATGGTGGCGCGAAGTGATGCACGTGTCGTAGTTCTCCGCACGCTCGCACGCACGCACGCACGCACTCTAACGGACTTGAACAGACAAGCACAGATATGCAGATGAATAGATTAAATGTATTTACATATATACAGTATATAGATATATATATACCCTCAGCGAACACTAAGAAGCAGGTTATCGTCGTTGCAAGGCCTACTTTTAAATGTAACGGACGATTCAAAATTTTGACATACTACGAAAATCACGAGAAATGAAAATCAACCGTATATCATGTTGCGTATTGTAAATGTACACAATTGTGTAAAAAAAAAAAAGCATCCAAAATTAGGGAGATTCCCCATTTATCCTCATAGCCCATAGTGGTGTACTTGTTAGGCACAGACGGATATGCGTATACTGCACGTACAAAGACGCACACACACACACACAATCATACGCATACATGTGTACAAGTAAATACGTAAATAAGTACATAATTAAATAGCATGTCGATACTAGCAACCTGCCAGTACTTAAGACGTTACCGTCCGTACATCCCTCCCTCTGGACGTGATAGTCCTCTAGACGTTACCATTATATGACATAGGATAGCAGTAAGAGAGAAGAAATAGATAACACGCAGCCAGCCAGCAAAACTTTTTTAAATCATATCGTATGATATATATACACACACACTTGCATCACCGCTGCAAGCGGCGATCACGTCGAGAGCGATCGCTGCCAGCGGCGAGTGGCGCGTTGATCGCCGTTGCGAACGATCGCTACTTGCGATGCGACGAGGAGCGACGGATACTCGCATCGCCGCTCGCCGCTGGCCGCGATCGAACGCGAGCGTACACGCGATCCACGCGTCACGCGCGGCAATGAGCAAAAGCCTGCCGAGGCTTCGCGGCGCTCGAAGACAACTGCTGTGCCAACAACGGAGCGGGTTTGCCCCGGAGTGCTCGGGGCGTCTGCGCTCGGCAGTGTCGTCGTTTGTGCATCTGTCGTGGCCCGGGCCGCGCGGTGCAAAAAAGTTACATTTCAGTTTGTGTTTTATTCGTTGTTCCCGGGCACGAGGGTGGTTGCACAGTGAGCGTTAGATACCCCCACTGGATCCACGTGTATCCGCATAGCACGTACGTGCACAGCCGCGATCGCGCGCGTGCTCGCACGCACGCACGCTCACAATGGCACTGTATCAGCGACGCTCGCCTATTGACGCAGAGAAGCAACTGGAAAAGTGGGTCGATGCCTCTTCCATTTTGATGGAAAATATAAGGAACGTATTGTACACTGATTTTGGGCAATATTTCAGTGATCCTGATCTATTGGTAGAATCGGTAGCTGCTTTATTAATACTTCATCAATTGAGAGTATGGACTGTTCTGTTGACAGAGAATCAATATAAAATGAGTATCAATAATAATAAATAAAGACTATATTATGGGTGATGCTGCTGCTTCTGCATTGGCAGTGCACAACAACAACATTCACATTTGTCACTAACACTGTGGCTTTAAAAGGTAAAATAAATAAATAGCATGCGCCATGAAGAAGGGTCACTGCCTGAAACGTTGGCTATTGAATTTTTTTTTAAGCCGCAACGTTCTTGACAAAGGAGTTATTGTCTGTTATCAAGAACGTTGCCAAATGACATAGAATGAACACGTATCGATCAAGATTGTCATGATTATTCACAGGGAATTGATGTGAATCGTGGATCAATAATGCTGCTGCATTGATGGAGAAACGACTGGCAATGTGAACCACTGATGCCGGCCCAATGACGATGAATAGAAAATATGGACAATGATTTTTCATCCGTTTCGATGAAGAATTCAATGCAAAACTTAAAATGGGGTATTATTGGTCTATCAATGAACAATCTACAGCGTGTCATACATTGATCCAACCATGCTACTCAATTGATGAAACAATTGTAAAAAAACATTCATCAATGATGCCAGTGTGTAGATATTTTTTTTCCCAAGGGGGAAAAGTATCAATGGTGCTGATCTAGTTAGCAAACGGAGCATCAATGGAAGATATGTATTATAATTTTCAATGCCGTTGCGTTGCTAAAGGAAAGCGTGTAGTGATGTGGATGGACAATCACAAAGAGGCCACGTGGTTTCGCTGCTCACCAGATAATGGCTAAGCACTCATCTCCTGCGTACAATGCTAACCAATGGCGGAAATTCCACGTTCCCATGGCAGCGGCGAGTAAATGCATAGGTCACAAAGGCGGTAATCATTTTATCAACCCCCACTCCAGATGGGATGATGGGCCAAGTTGACACCCACCCCCCCCACCTCGCGTCCCAGGATTCGAATTTGCGATCGGAGGTGGCGAGATGCGTCCGTCCGACCGCACGGCTGACGCTGGCCTTGTGCGTACACATGCGTAAAGTTGGGGTCATAAGGGGGAACTTTTTTTGTTTCGCCGAAGACGGCGAGATAAAAGCTCACCGATGTTTTTGAGATTAAATTTTGACGCCAACAATAAAATGTGTCCTAATTCGTGAGGTTTTCCTTTTTTCAAGTAGATTTTCTTAACGAAATGGATTCATGTTACTTACTGTATGTGATTATATAATCAGAAATACAATACACGTGTGTGTGTGTGTGTGTAAACCTCGTGTGTTCTTTGTATAAAAATTACTGTATATTGCAAACAGATATGAAATGAATTTTGTTTAAAATAAAATAATACATGAATGGAATGAACACGGAAAGTATATTGATTCGTAAAAAATACAACCGTAAAAAAATTGCATTTTTAAATCAACAACAACGATAACAGGAAAAGAAGAAATAAAATAATACAATAATTGCACCAACGAGAACACTTTCCTTATTCAACCAAAACAGCAGCAGCAGCAGCAATGAATGTCGACTACAACAATGAATGTCAGCGTAAAACAGAAGCTGTGGAGACCCCGAGATTCATCCGCCCACTCATCCACCCACCACGCCCATCCACCAGCAAACCCGCCCATTTGCACACCTATCCACCAACACGTACTTACCTACCTGCCACGCCCATCTTCCAGCGAACCCGCCGATTCACACACGACCCACTCGCTCATCCACTCACTCATTTCCCTACTCATCCATCTGCCTCATCCATCCACTCATCCACCTGCGTCATCCATCCACTCATCCACCTGCCTCATCCATCTACTCGTTCACCCATTTGCCAGCTATCCACCAGCTAATCCACACAGCCACTGACCATACCTATTCACCAGCCCGTGTGCCCACCTATCATACATCTGCATACCTATCCACCCGACCCATCCACCAGCCAATGCGCCCATCTGCCCATGCGTGCACCCATCTGCCTCTGTAAACCCTCCCACCCATGCATCCGTCCAATACCCCGCACACCCAACCACCATCCTGCCCATCCACCCACCCATCCGTCCACGCACCTGCCCATCCGCCATCAAATCAGCCAGCTATTCAACCCATCTATCTGCCCGCCTATACACCATCTCACCCATATAACTGCCAAGCTCCCACTAATCCGCTCACCAACCCACCCACCCACCAGTCCACTAACTCACCCACCCTTCCACGTGCCTGCCTGTGAACACACCCCCACAATGCACGCACCGGCCAATGGACCCATGCGCTCACCCACTCATCCACCATTCAATCCGCTCACTCACTCACCCAACCACTCACCCACCCACCCACCTCTCGCCCAACCGCTCACCCGCCCACCCACTCCCACACCCACACACCCGCCCACCCACACACGCGCCCGTCCGCCCGCCCACCCACCTTGCGAGTGCACGAAGTAGGCCAGGTAGAGGTCGAGCTCTTTGACGGAGACGCCGATGTGGTGCGGCTGCACGCAGAGGCCCGGGTTGGCGCACTGCGGCGACTTCACCAGCCGCTCGCCGTCCGTGCTCTCCAGGGGCACACCCTTGAAGAGGATGACCATGACCAGGTCGAGGCGCCACACCTTGTCGGCCTGGCGCAGGCAGTCGATGCGCCGCATCTTGCCCTTCTGGTCGGGGTTGGAGAGCACGCAGCAGGGCGGCTTCTTGCCGGTCACCGTGAGCACGAAGTCCTCGCGGAACTCGGGCCGGATGTCCTTGCGCAGCTTGGCGAGCAGCCGCGAGGCCCACTTCTGCTTCACCTCGCTCTTCTCGCCCAGCAGCTCGTCCTTGACGGCGCGCTCCTCGTCCTTGGACATGCGCTTCTCGTGCTTCTTGAAGTACTTGCGCTTGCGCGCCTGCAGGTTGAACCACGTGTAGGCGAAGGCGCGCACGTGCGGCAGCAGCGCCTCGATGAACGGGTGGAACTCATCCTGCGGGGGCGCCCGGGTGGGGAGGGGTGGTGGCGGTGGTGGAGGTGGTGGAGGTGGTGAAGGTGGTGATGGTGGTGGTGGTGGTGGTAATGGTAGTTGAGTGTTGGCACGGGTGATATTGGTGGAGATGGTGGCGGTGATGATGATGGTGGAGGTGGTGGTGTTGGTGACGGGTGGTGTCACAATTTGTGAGTGTGGGCATTCGTGTGGCACGGATTGTCGTGAGATTGTCATAGGTTCAGGTTATACGTGTGTGCGTGCGTGGGTTTGTGAGTATGCGTGGCGTGGGTTGCGAGTTTGTGCGTTTGGTTAGGAGCCCGGTGGTGTGTGTTGTTTGTTTGTGGAGCGCAAGCGTGTGTTTATCGTTATTGCACAGTTTGTCGCAATGGGTGATGATCATTGGTGTGGGAGATGTGATTGTGGCGAACGGGAGGAAAGAAACGAGGCGGGAAAACAAACAAACAAACAAACAAGGAGAATGCCGTCAACGTTACATTTGCACCGACGACGAGCAACTTTTTTTTGTATCATTGTTCAACCCAATTTCTCTCGGCTTCAATCACACATTATTACATCCGCTCACACAAAGACAAAGAACCCCCTCATGTCGTCTTAACAGACTTTCGGGGCGAGTGCTGTTAGCGAGCGCCTATACAGAATGCCAGCACAGCGCACGAAGGGGTAGGGTGGCCAACAACACGGACACAGACATGCACGCAGATATTTGTTTCTCTCCATTATCATCATCATCTTGTATAAAACAAAACATAAAATTGTATGTTCAGAATTAAATGGTTAGTTTGGCTGGAAGTAAAAAAAAACCCACAAAATGAGCGCACTATTATCGCTCCTTCAATCTCAAACCAAGTGGTTCGTCCAACACGGCGATGGTAAAATCGAAATTAGTAACGACGCACAGGGATAACGGACACAATAAGTCTGCTTTCTGAAACAAGGATGTCAAAAATAATTCTCTATGAACCTCAGATGGCAAGAAAAATGAGATAGGCATCAGTAAATGTGGTGCAACCTTGTTTAACATGGGCAAGGCGACAATAAAGTTGATTCGAAATTGTCAAATATACATATATGCTGCATCGCTAGACCGTGGGGATGGCGACGGCTTGGTAAGGCCTTCATCCAGCAGTGGATGGATCACAACCGACGTTAATACAACAAATAATTTGTATTTTTTTTTTATTTACGGGACAAATGCCACACACGTTTTGTCGCGTTCAAATCCTTAAGGTTTTTTTTTTCGTCATTTTTTTGGCCATTTTTTTTAGATACGTGTGTGTTAAAAAAAAAACCCCAGACAAAAACGCTAATAAAAGAGAGGCTTGAATTTTTGGCAGTGCAGAGCAGTAGACGGAGAGATTTGGCATTAACCCATCAACCCGTAAAACTGGAGCCACACTCTGTAGGATAAGAACAAATACGTTAACTCATTTGCTCGCGTATTGCGCAAACACAAACACAACGCACAGGCCCATCGAGACGCGTGCACGTTGTCCATACCGCCACGTCGCTCTGCTGCCATTTCTCGAAACACTTATTTCGTTTCTGTTCAAACGCGGACCGAACGTCGAGCGGAGCTACGATGCCAAAACACAATTGGCAAGTGTCTCTGCCGCTGTTACTTGTTGACGTTATCCACAAATAGACGGAGAAATAATAACCAGGTTGGTTCACATTTGGTGCCAATTGTTAAAAAAAGAAGAAACACTTCCAATTCAGTTTGTCCGCCATCCCTTCCACTCCCGCTCACTCCGCCTCACTTTGTCTGTCTCATCTCCATGCTAAATGTGACATTTGGCGAAATATTTCGGGCCAATTTAGCGCTTTTTATATCAAACCAACTGCGCTAAAAGGTCCGTGTCGTCAATCGCGATCGCGGAGTTTTCCAAAACCATGGTGCGATGCCGAATAAAAAATGGAAATGTTCAAAGAAGGGAGAAAGCATGGGCAAAAGATGTCGCAAATTTCCAAGAAAAAGAAAGAAATGTTTTAATTCGAAACAAAAAGAATCTTAGCGCATGCGCTTTAGCGATGTCCAGTCTAGCGCATGATTTGTCCAATCAGAGGCGAGCCGCGGTTCACAAGATGGACGCCGTTGTCCATGACGGCCATATTCCACGCGCTGCATTTAAACAACAAAAAGAAAATGGCGTCCACAATTAGCTTTTCCAATATCCTCTATAGAAACATCGCAAAGTTGGGCGCGTTTTTGGCCGCAGTTGGTGTTGCAGTAAATACGTTTACACGTGCAAAATATATAAATATATTTTTTAGCGGCATTCCCTGTCCAGCATCCAGATTTCTAGCAACAACGGCGCCGTGCTTGGTGGCCATTTTGGAATACTAATTATTGGCGATGCAAGTGTAAATAGAATACAAATATTAAAAACTATATCAAATTATTTATTGACACTATACGAAAAAGCAAGGCTTACCATAAAAAAACACATATATACGCTTGCGATCGCAATACGTGCCCCGTACGATCGAACCAGAAAGCTCGCCCGCTTAAAATTTTCCCCAAATTCTTTCGCGAAATGGCCATGCTTGTGCCTCTTGTCGTCGCCGTGAGGGTTTGGCTTGTGAAGGCTCCCTGGCACATGTGCACAAGCGACTTGGCTACGAATACAGGGGGTTAGTTTTAAAATAAAAAAAAATAAAAACGCACAAAAAAGATTCAACGCTCCCTTCGGCGCCTCGCCAAGGGCCCACAAAGAGTATATTTTGAGTGGATTTAGAGTTTTTATCGCCCCCAACTTTGCGCGTCCCGTTCGCGGCTGTGGTAAAAGGCCCATCGCACAGATATCTGCGATCCGTTTCCTCTCCTCTGTACCTACCTAAAGAGAGAGGTTGAGCAAAGGCAAATGCTTACTGTATTGTTACGGAAAATCTTTGCATCAAATATTGCATACCGCACATTTACACACACCCATATATACACGCAAACATATATAAGATACACACAAATGATATATAAATATATATACGCCATACAAATACATTCAACAAAACCACAGCGGTAACCAATAGGCCCCATAAGGAATTGAATGTGGTTGAGCCTTAAAAACTTGGCCACGGCTCCAACATTTGCGATCCGATTCAGGCGCACGTATTGTCCAAAAGAGGCTCCGGATGAGGATATACATCCGTTCCTATTATTTCATATTCTAAGCTGCAGACAAAAAAATATATACATATCAATAATCAATAAATACCGGAAACAACGATCGTCACGTATTATGCACGCGCATATTCTTGTACGCTACGATGCACACGCGAATAGATGCACCTTGGAACACATCTACGGGGGTACGGGGGGTGGCGAGTAACAGCGAAAACTAAGCGACTGTATCTTTTACGGGGGGGGGGGGGGGGGGGTGAAAAAAATTTGTTGGCAAAGACTAAACAGCCGTTTGTCTTATTACTATTGGTTGTTGTTGTTTTTTTCGCGAAGCAGCAGCGGCAGCAGTAACAGCGCCGGTTTTGGAAGTTCGCACTGTTTCGCCATTGCGTCGTCGCATCGCGGTTAGTAGTTGGCCCAATGCATCACGGCGGGAGGGGGGGGGAGTGGTGGGATGCGGGGCCTCCCCACGCATCCGCACACTTTCCTGCGGTAGCCCAGGACGGCGGTTCGCCCCACGCCGGCGTTGGCAGAGCTGGCGGCGCGATCGTGAGATCGGCTCGGAGCCCGCGTCGGCGAGGGGGTTTCACCGTCCTCAGGAGCCATCCTACCGAGTGCGGCTTTTTAACAACAACAACAAAAAAAATGGCAAAGCCAACCCCGAGGAATCGTTCCAGTTATCGGCGGCGGCCAAGGTCGATGGGCTTCGAACGTTGCGCCCGTCGCTTCGCGTACATTTGCGAGTGTGAAAATTTGTGCGCGAGTGTTTGTCGTTTCCATAATTGCGCTGTTTTGTAAAGTTTGTTCGATAAAAGTGATAGTTTTTATATATATACCGAAAAACTAACTTCGATATTCGCGCACATCATTACAATTACATAAGCGTGATTATAGTAATCATAAAAGTAAGATTGTACGTCACTATAATTATTACCGCACGGTAAAATACATACATATGAATTGTACAATATGTACAATTAATTCTCATAATACTTATTATTGTAAATGCAGGTCATCCTGAATTGAGGTTAAATGAATGAGGCGCATGGGCAACGATGCCAGGTTTGGTGGACGCTGGGCTCCAGGATTTTCGCGGAGAGCCACCAGGTATGCACTCTTGCGGGCAGACGTTGGCGATCGCAGGTAATGCGACCGATCCATGCCCAGAGATGCAGCGCCTGGGTAGGCGTTGTCCGCTACCAATGTCTCTCAAGACAGACCCTCGCAGGGGGAGACCGGCAGAGGGCAGTTCGCAAGCTTCCTGTCGACTTTTTGGCAAACATGGCATGCGGTGACAGTACAGAAATGAGCGCCCATTTATTTATATTAAAAAAATATTCAACTTAGCGCGGTCGCCCGTTACGTAATCACATTTTTACAAGATTATTTTCTCTCTCGGTGGAATGTGGAGTTTTTTATTTTAATTTTACGCGCCTGCCAGGTTTATTGCGGAGCGCGAATGGTTGAACCGCGCGTTGTATTTATAAAAATAAGCTTAAAAAATAAAGTGAAATGTAAAATAAAATACGTCGTGCCAGATTTATTTAGAGTTTTTATAATTTAAGAGTGCATTTTTTTATTTTATATATATATAAAAAATAAGTTTGGCTTAACGTTCAAATTGTTGCAATCGCAGAAATTTGTTTTTGGCACATAGGCGCATCGTACAGTAAACTCTCTTTAAAAATCAGCATCTTTGGAAATGCAATTTTCTTTTTTTTATCGCACCATTAAATAGCTTATCATCCGCAATCTTACGTGCATTTACCGCATTTAATTTCTTCAAGTAAATTTTTAAAAATAAAGCGCACAACAAAAAAAATCATTCGGCCGGCACGGAATCGCGAAATCGCTTCCAAAA